GGAGGCAGAGGTTGCAATGAGCTGAGATCGCACCATTGCACTCCAGTCTGGGCAACAAGAGCAAAACTCCTTCTCAAACAACAACAACAGCAACAACAACAACAACAACAACAACAACAAAAACCCTAAGGGAGTTACTTTGTGTGGGGAAGAGAAGAGGAGAAAAAGAAGAGTTTTTATGGGAAGGCTCCATTTGTTCTCCTTTTCCATCAAAGATAAAATTTAACAGAAAGGATTTTATTGGAACATAAAGAAGAAATTTGAATAGTATTTTTAATACTGTAAAAGATTATGGACAGGTATCTTGGTCATATACTTTTTTAAATTAAAGTGACAACCAGTCCTCAGCTATGTATTCTAGGTAGGTTCATTGGCAACTTGACTGACTTTGCTTTTCAGCTCGAGGAATTCAAGATTTAATATTATTCTCATTTTACTAATGGCAAAGATAACTCAGAGAAATGAAGTGACTTTGCTAGAAACAAAGAGTTAATATTAGAGTTCCTATTCGAATGTAAGGAAAATCAGACTTCTTTATCCTGGGTTCTCTTCTGATGAGCGTGCACCTTTGCTGTGTTTCTACTCTCTAAGGGGCTTGTGGCTCAATCAAGCCAGAGACTTCCTTAACTAACATGAACACAGGTGACTGATTCTTTGTGGGATGGTCTTTAAGTAATCACACAAGTGGTTCAGATTTTGTCAGGCATTTTATATCTTGTACAGTTAAATTTGATTTCACTCCATTAAATTCAATAAACCTCATTGACGACCCACTGTGTGCCAGATGCAGAACCAAGTGCTAAGGATATACTTTTAAAGGAAGCAAACACAGACTCAACATCTCGGTGCTTCAGCCTAGTGGAACAACAAACAGTAAGCAAATGATCTCAAACATGATGAACTTCATTAAAAGGGAACTAGATATGGAGAAAAACCCTGGCAAAGTCAATGTCAATTTTACTTTGTTCTGGACAAATCTATTTCTGTCTCGAGAGATATAGTAACATTTAAGTTCATTGTTTCTTGGGAAGTAGCTATTCATTGACTTCTATAGATAGGTGCGTAGGAAAATGTGTTATTGGCTTGATTTCTTGTATAAATCCAAAAGAAGAATAGAAATTATTAAAGAATAGTTAAAATTTGTGGAATAGTTAATTATATATACTTAATTATAGAATTCTTTATACACACTTCGCATTTTATGAGAATGTAGACTAAGGCATTACACTCCTTCATTTTGTTTGTCATCATGATCAAGCCTGAACCTAGTCAAAATACTCACTTAAATAGGCTATTTGGATGGTTTAGTCACACCATGGCTTGGACTTTGCCTTCTTTTTCCCAAAGAGTGAAGCCTGTGACAAGGTCTTGCAAGCAGGTGGTTTCTTTTGGGAAGTGGTTCAGGAGACAAAAGTGAGACAACTGAGAAGACTGAAAGGTAGAAGAAAAGACCAGTCCTGGGGTGTGTTATTGCACTGATTACCACTGTGGGAAACTGGTACTCCTTCCTCTTGGGGACAGCCTTGAAAGCCTTGTGAATATACCTTAGAACTGCCAGACAGCCATAATCATCTATTGGCTTTCACATGCCATTGGAAAAGAGTGGCCTTCAGGGAGTATGAACCTCTCCAGCATGCCCAGGGATGGCTGAGTGGGTGTCTCTGGTGGCAGAAGAAAAGTCCAGGACAGAAAGCCAGATTATATGTAGCAACTGCAGCAAGCTGTTGTCAGGTTCCAGTTGGTGGTTGCCACAATGATCAGAACAAGGCGGGGAGATGGGACCGCAGATATTCCTCAAAAAGAACTATTCAGAATATTTCCTTCCTTTCCATGGCTGAAAGGTGGAGGTCAGAGCATCTACAACACAATACAATGAAATTGGATATGCATACTTTCTTTGCAGAAAGGTCTCCTTCTGAAGCTGTCCTTGAATTCTCTGAATTCAGGGTACAAAATGGACCCCGGTGTCTAGAATGTTGATTAGGAATTTCATGAATATTTGTTAGCCAGAGCTTTAGAGAATGAGAGGGGAAGCTCTTCAAAATGCTGACAAAGACTCTCTTCTTGAAGTAACTTTAATCAGGCTCCTCTGAGACCTCTGCTTGACTAGGCCTGGACTTGGGCTTCCCTCTGTCCTTGTAGAATTTAATGTGAGCAAGATTCCTAGTAAGTCAGTTTAGTGAACTGACTAACTTTCCCACTGTTGGTTTCTGACCCCTCTCCACATCTTATCATGTTAGCCCACCTTCAGCAAGAATTCCATTGAGTTGGTCTAGCGGGAGTCCCACCTACCCCCGATGTTTCTTCTTAGTATTTTACATTCGCCGACCCTCGCCCTTCTCCTTGGCTATAAATCCCCACTTGTCCTTGAGGGAGTTGGAGTTGAGCTCAATCTCTCCATGCAAGACCCTAATGCAGTGGTCCCTCTATTTATCATGAATCCTCCCCTTGAATTAAATTCTGCCTTACTATTGTTTAACAAGCGTCACTGGACAATTTTTTCTTTAACGATACTGATGTCTATAGGCTGAAGAGAAACATTAGAGGCTTACTATGTGCCAGGCACTATTCTAACACATTAGAACAATGTCCTCAAGCAGCTCCTATGTGCCATGCTTGTGCTAGACACCGGGGGGAGTAGGTTGAATAAAATGTGGCTCCTTTTCTCAAAGAGGTCTCCATTACTGTTAGCAAAGAGTAAACAGATAAATGACACCACCATAAATCCTGAGTCATGACATGAATTTGTAGAGAGTGCAACTCTTCCTAGGGTGCTGGGAAGGGTTCACAAAGAAGGGGGCCAGGACTAATGCCCCCCTTTTACAGCAACCATAACTTCTAATTGCCCCTGGATATAGTTATAACTTGTTTGATATATACAGAAGCACAAGAATTAATGTCCTAATGATATGTATTATGACGTGGTGCTAATATATGTGAAGTTAGTACTGTCTTCAGACAGTTCACATTTCATTTTCTGAGCAGAATAGATAAGATTCCATCAAGTTTCTTCTTAGTTGCTAAAGACTTCATAAATTTCTCTTGTAATTGACTTGCTCTCAGACAATAATTGTTAACTGATAAATAGGAGAATTGTCAGGTGTGGAATCAGTGGTGAAAGAAAGATCGTTTCTCTGTTGCACTTATGAAGAATCACCGATAAGACCTCTGATCCCATTAAGGATATAAACTCTTCAGATGGAGTTGATGACAGCCCCATGGGCTGCCTGAGCCCTCGCCAGCTTGGCTGTTCTCAGTGCATGTTCAGCCAAAGGGAGTGAAATCAATGCAAGAATTTCATGGCCTCCAAGAAAATTACTGTTGAGAGATGACCTAGTTCTTTGATTGGTGTCACCAGAAGACAGGCCTCCTTGAGAAATGAATGTAATGACATCCACCAGCTGCTTAAATTCTTTCTATTATATGCATTTGCTTTCAAATGGTTTTAGCATTTTAGCATAAACTACCACTTGCTTTCCTCCCAGGTTTAGGCTCTGGGCATTTTTAAAGCAGCAGGCAGAGGCAGTGCTGGCATAAGCAGCATACTGCTCTGCATCTCCCAGGCTGGATGAAAGCTTCTTTGCTTGGATCCCTTAATGATTAAGGGCTAAGAAAGTGGCATGAGTGGATTAATGATTCCAAATGAAATTCCTCCCTTTCCTTTGTTGTGTTCTCATTCACAAGAATTACCGTGGTATACGGATAAATACTGGGACTCTAAGCACTATATTGCCACCTTCCCTTCCGGAACCCACATTTCCAGTACCCACATTGGTTCTTACATGGGTGTCCTGGCTTTACTCATTCTTATGTCTTCACTGACTTCTGAAAACTCTTGAAAGTGTCTTATTTTGTGCCTCTGAAAGACCTAGATGTACATGAAGACAGAAAGTGAGCTACAGGAGTTGAAAAGATAAAATAAAAACTAGAGCGGAAGACACAAAGAACATCTGCAAATGAATGAAACCCCATGGACTCTGTGGATCTGCCATGACGGTGATAGCCTGCTCCCTCATCTCACTTTTTCACCAGTCTTTCCTGCTTCACTCTCCCTTGCCTCCATACAGTGAAAGATGGTGGATAAGGTGCTGCAAAGATATAACAACAGCAGTAGCAGCAGCAATCTTTTAAACTGAACTTGTGTCTAAGTACTTACTATGTACCAGGCACTATTCTAAGCATTTTTTATATATTAACTTGTGTAATCTTCCCAACAACCCTATGGATTCATGCTATTATTCTTTTATTTTAGGTGAGGGACTGAGGCACAGATAGCTAAAGTAACTTAAGTTTATACAACCGTGTCCCTGTCTTAGTTACCGCTCTCTTCTGCTTGCGATAACCAAGAAGGATTAAATACTTTTAATGTATTAATGTTAATGTTAATGTTAATGCCTGTCATTTCTTTGCCAAATGGAAAAGTTGGTGCAGAGAAGCATTGGAAGGAGAACATCCTGTGTCCCCTTCAAGGGGAAAGATCGTCAGGATCTCCAGCCTGATAATGTCCTTTTGGAAAATGTGAGCCATCCTCAGGAAGCCCCATGCCCACGACAAGCCATGCTAAATACTTTGCTATCCAAACGTGAATGCACGGCTCCATTAATACTATGAACAGTATCTTTAAGACAATTTTGAACAGCAAGCTGCTAGCACATGCGTTCTTCCCAGGGGCCCACTTGTGGCCTCCCTCATCCACCTGTGCCAGTGTGTTACTTACTGGTTGCTGTAGGAGGGAATGTTAGATAAGGTGTAATTTCTAACTGGTGCTGAGCTTTCATTTGAATCCAAGGTATTTGGGACAGAGAAAATTTGTGGAACAGGTGGTTTCCAGCATGTCTGTGGCTCAGAGGAAAAACATTAAGAATTTAGTTACAGGCCAGGCGTGGTGACTCATGCCACATCTCTACTAAAAATACAAAAATCAGCCAGGTGTGGTGGTGGGCACCTGTAATTCCAGCTACTCAGGAGGCTGAAGCAGGAGAATCACTTGAACCCAGGAGGTGGAGGTTGTAGTAGAAAAAAGAAGAATTTAGCTACACTGGGGTCTTGTCTTCCTCTGTTCACACCTGGAAATCTGCTGTCTGTGGGAACCTGTGAGATCTGGAAGAGCTTGAAAGAGCTCCTGGATCCTTATCATTTTTGATGTGTGCCCTCGCAGACTGGTGTGAAAAATGTGGGCAGATTTGGAAGATTTTCCATCCTCAATCAGACTCTGACCATGGGTTCAGGATGGGTTTTCCAAATGGCTTACTTGTTTTATAACACCTAACAGGTGAGTATAACATGGTAGACCATTGGGTGACCTCCCTGAGAGGCGACCAAACAGCTGGTCCCCTCCAGTTCCATTGGGCAGTTCCACAGAGAGAGTTACTGAGCTTAGCTGGCTTGCATTAGGTACTTGACAATGTGCATCTGGCCAAGGTGCCCACCAGTTGACCAGCAGCATGAAGAAGAAATGGTGTGAGTTCATGCTCTGGGCCTGTAGGCCTCATGCATGTGCTTCATGCATTTGGGAAGAAGCAGCCCCACACCATAAAACCTCCCTGAAAGCCATTGAGGTACCTCTCTAAAAACCATAATAGACTGTGCTGAAAGCCTAACTTTGACTGATGTTAGGTTTGGGACTCTACCCAGGTAAGAATCCAGGCAGCAAGGAGACCGTAGAAGGCAGATGACCCAGAGTAGGGCCAAACTGTTTACCAGCAAGTGTGTTTTCGAAAATCTTCCTTAACTGGTCATGGCAGCGGAAAATACCCTGCTGTTAAACGCATCTGCAATCTGCTGCTCTCCCAGTCCACCTACAAAAATTTTGACCTTTAAAGAAATGATGGAGAAGCTGGTGATTTTTTCGATGGCATTGAAGCTCAGTCTATTTTAGGCTCCAAGGCAATTGCAGCCCTCTTTGCTCCCTATTTCGCATTACTTTTAAGTCTTGTTCTGGCCACTATGAACCCTTCAGCACTTCTCCCTCTACAATCACTCAAGTCAAGATCTGTGATCTGTGATTTGCAGATGACATGCACATTTCTTGGCTGACGGTTGCTGAAGCAGTTTGCAAACCTAAGGCAGTTAAATGGGGAGGGGATAGAAGAGCAGATTACAACTATAATGCCACCCTAAATTTCAATTTTCATGCAAATGTATAACTGATTTCTCATTATTTTGAGTGAAGGGACAGTAGCGGTTGGTGTGAATTACCATATTCATATTTTGATGACCAAACACTTGGCTGATTTCTATTGTTTGTCACTCCTGTGAAACCACAGTACTTTAGAAACCCATGTTGGGGGTAAGATGTTATTAACAGCACTCCCTCCCCCCAAAAATATCCAAACACAAAGACAAAATCTTAGGATCCTCTCATTATGAAAATCTGTTACAGCGATGCATCAAAAAACACTCAGCTTCCTGAGTTTTAGAGCAATAATGGCTGTATTTTGGACCAGGTTTCATTTGAATATCTGCAAAATATGTAAATTACCAAATCTTTGAGAAAAGTTATTTCAGTGTCATTTACTGAAATATTCACTCATTTAAAAAAGACCATGTTAATGAAACCTAGGCTTATCTGATTTTTAAGCAGACATGATATGTGTGTAAATGTAATGTGATCTGAAAGACACATTAATGAGATTGCCATCAGAAGGATTACTGAGATTCTGTGTTTAGACACCGAGAAAAGCCAAATGGGTGTATCAAGCACCCATTTCTAATCTTCAAAAGCAAATTTATTGAAGTGTCTCAATTTTGCCACACACCCTAACATCTGCATATGGGACCAGATTCCTAATCCTGTCACACTGTGATGCTGCAGATTAAGAGAATGTATAATCAATGCCTCTGTCGCTATACATAAATATAGACTGCTAAATCAAGTGTGGGCTTTACAACAGAGACTCCTTATCCTCAGCAGATTTTGCACTAAACATTGCTGAAATCCTGGAAAATTAAAAACAACAACAACAACAACAAAAAACAGTGATAGTCTCTGGTATTTTCTTCCTTTATCTAATTAAAGAAATTTATCTGTAAGTGGAAGCTACCATATAAATGTTTCATCAGTAAACACGAAGCAAAGAAAAGGAAGTTCAGACTTAAAGAACACCCCACCATGTGTCAGACATTGTGTTAGATGCTTAACATACATTATTCCATTTAATAATAAATCAACACAAATAAGTATTCATTGAGCTTTCTCAACATGTCAGTGTTCTATGCTGGTTATAATTCTTCAAATATTTCTATGTATTTGTACCCCTTACCCCTTTACCACCATTTTTAAGTGTTTCTAACACTATATTAATTATACAAATGTTTGCAAAGAAATCTCTGAGAACTTTGTAGATTCCCAAATCCACAAAACTCCTACAAGGAAACAAGTAGAGAATTAAGGTCATGGTATCCAGTTAAATGACTCATGCCTGCCTCCCAGTTCAGGCAATTGAGATTTGTGCCTCATCAAAATTATAAATTACTCCGTGTTATGGACTTTCAGGGTCATTTAAGTACATTCAAAATGATGAATGTTAAATCCACAACTGCCAGGGGCTTATTGTACCGTGCATGTCATCTTGACACTCAATTGTTACTTTTAGTGACAATCAAAATAATTTTCATTTAAATTACCTGCCACAACCCTTTCCAGTACTTCAGATTTCTGACTAATCTGTACTTTATTTAGCCTTTTGAGTTCCATTTGTTCAAAGTCAATGTAAAGCCTAGATGTTATCACAGCTCCTCCAGGAAATTGGAGAAATATCATTAGAGATGACAATATTCACAAAGCACTGGGGAAAGGTTGGGGTATGTCCCCTTGAAATTTTCCAAAGAAAGAAAAAACATACAGTGGTAGAAAATATTATTGAACTTTTAAAGTGTATAAAGTCTTCGATTTAAATTGTGAAATATAAGTCACAGTTCTATTGATTTTGTTACTGGATGAAAAATCACAAATTTTCCATCAAAGTGGAGAATAAAAACAAAGAAAGCTATGATCACATTGGAGTGCCTCTATCACTGATATCATATCTACCTGACTACGTCATGTTTGCTTTCCTGAAAGGACTTGTGTGTCCATATTATCACGTGTTGACTTTAGAATTGCTTGCAACACAGATTTTAAAAATGTGAATCCAATTCTCTCAGTCTACGACTGACTTCTATTTTTGGTAAAAGCAATCATGTAAAGATAGGTCCAAATAAAAGCCTTTCTTTCTGTATCCTTGGAGAACAATTTCTCAGAGACTACCGCTTTGACAGCCCTGTCTATAGTTCCTCCTCCATCTGCATCCTTCCTTCTCTTCTACCATTACCATTTCCTTTATGTGGTTCTGAATTCGTAGGAGGGGTCCAAAAGGAGTTCCAAGTATTTCAGGGCTGGGAAAACCAACCAAGTTTCATGCTTTAGAACCAATGACAATGACTCGTGGGCCTTCACCAAAGCCCAATATTTCGCTTGCTGCATCTATGCTCAGTAACTTTTATCCCAAGACTCAACAACATGCCCAGAGTAGGTGGCAAAAAAGACTACGCACTTTCTGGTTATAAGGCCCAAGATGGGAAGGATGTCATTTACTTGCCTGAGTTGCTTCATCTGCTACCATAACTGAGATGGGACTGCTCTGCTCTCCATGTTTACTTGGAGAGTAGGTTGAGATGATCTGCAATACTGGGATTAGCAGGTGAAATAGTTTGGTTAAAACAGCAGAAATGCCTCTGGGACAGAAACACCAGCACTAGCCCTGATCACAGATCAGATCCTAGCAAGATTCTCTTGGGTGGAAGCTATACCAATATAGCAATTTACTTGGTGTCTGTAAGAGTTAATATAAGCTACCTCCAGTGGTGCTCAAAGTGCTCAGCAGAGTGGCCTGGGCTTTGGGGAATTGGAGAGTTCCCCTCTTCATGTGTTCTTATGTATATATCATTTGCTATAAAAGTCAGAGATCAAGCAGGTCACTTTTACATGAATTAGTTCATGTGCCTAATTCCTAAATTCCACACATCCTTCTTTTTTTTTTTGCCCCAAGAGAAGCTCAGAGAAATAAAGAAGCTAACCCTGAGTGCCAGGGAGTTGAAAGATTGTAAGTCTCATGTATCCTGGTTTCCTGGGCCAGAAAAATAAGCACCGTTTTGCAAACAAAATATCTTTAGCCTTCAGAAAAATGTTCCTAGCAGGCAAACATGTGACTGTCCTCCTCTATATAAATCAGTATCTACATCGTGTCCCAATCATGGGCATTTTGATCTGTTGGTGCCCTAACTTACATTCAAAGAATGCATTTCACAAAAATATTCCATCAAATCTATAAGCAAACTATAGGCAAGGAGGACTAATTAATGACTACCTGAATATATCTTTGATTGTTTTTTTTAATTTCTTTGAACATCAGGGTTATGAGCACGGATTCATTTGCATTACTGACTTAACTAATTTATCTGATTTTAAGGTTTACCATTACAGAAAATTAGTTCAGAATTGTTCCTGGTTTCAAGTTCCATTTTTCTCTGGAAATAACAGATCACAGAAGAGTTTACACAAGTTAAATAAATGTAACCAAATATAGTCGTACTTCCTGAAACTGTGAATGATCTAGTAATACTGAGGAAGCAATTACAATCTTAATTGGTATCAAATTATAGGAAATTAGTTTCATGGTAAATATTCATTCTCTCTGTTGTCCAATCTATTATTTACGTTAGAGATGTGACATTTAGCCTGCTAGAAGGAATCCAATTTCATTTGTTTTTATAAAGCATTTTAATTGAGGATTAAAGAACAATCCTTAGTGAGGATCGCAGAAGGAGAGTTTTTCTGTTTTGTTCAGATAACACCAAAACAAATGCCAAGCATCATCTATCTTGAATGTTAAAGCCCTCTGAATAAAAATTAGTCTTAGTTGTTCAAGCACCATTTGAGTTAGTTTTAAAAGACAACCACAAGAAGAAGCAGGTTTAGTGAAGAATTTGGTAAAGTCAGTAAAGGGAGTGTTTGGTTATCTTTTGCTGCATAATTAAGCTCCATAATTTAGTCACTGAAATAATTATTAATTATTGTTATCTCTCATGGTTCTTTGGGTTGACTGGGCTCAGATGTGTGGTTTTAACTTGGAATTTCTTGTGAGTTTTCAGCTGAGGCTGGAGTTATCTGAACTGACTGAGTTGGAAATCTAAAGTGGATTCTTTATTCTCATGGCTGATGCCCCAGTTGAGATGGCTGGAGCAGCTGGATGCTGGCTGGGCATCTCTCTCTCTCTCCACATGGCTAGCCTAGGTTTTCTCACAGCATGGAGGTTTCAAGACAGTTTGATTTTTACAAGGGTGTTGATACCTTCTAGAGCAAGCATTCCACAAGAGCCAGGCAGAAGTTGTAAGACACCTGTGATCCAGCCCTGGAGTCTAGGCAGCATCAGTCTGCTGTATTCTACCAGTCACAGCAGTCACAGGCTAGCACAGATTCAATAGGATGAAGCAACAGTCTCCACCTCCAGATGGTGGAAAAGTGTGTATAGAAGGAAGGGAGAAATTGATGGTGATCATCTTGAGGACAAACTACCACAAGGAGAATAAACAATATTTATACTTATAATGTGTCTATCAGATTACTTTGGAGGCTGTTCCCACTTAGATTCGTCATATAGAAGATGTGGATATAGAAACATGCAGATAAATCAGTCAATGCCAAGTGTTGGGGAAACTTCCATAGCCTGCAGGTTCCCACAGAGAGGATAGCACTTCCACTCCTCTCCCATGAGGGAAAAATAAAGGAGAAAAGCTTTCAGCCTCTCACCATAAGCTCATTCAGTCTTCCCCTTGGGAGAGAAATGACTTACCTGAGGAATGTGCTTGGAAGTAGTTGTGCTGGTGAAACTCAGCCTCTGTGGGTTTCTCTCTCTTTCAGAGTCAGCTCTTGTCAGGATGCACATTTATTTTTCCCTTTGGAGGAGGCCTCAGTCCAGCTCAGCTAAGGGCACATCTGCCTAATTCAGGACTGGGGTATTGGGAAGTCACTTGGCCCCCAGATCTATGACATGTTCTCAAGTCCTGAGACCTGCTGACTCTGGTGTCTAATTTCTCAGTTGGGTCATATCTTGGGGTTATTTGTGTTCCTCAGCTCTAACAGGAGGGTTCCCAAGCACTCATTTCTTCTTAACCAATTTCTGAAGGTAAAATTTTGGTTGAAGAGCATTCTTTTCTTCCTGCTACCATTAATTTGATGTTTATTTTGTGTCAGGCACTGTTCAGTATTTCACATTTCTTAGCTGGTTTGATCTTTACAGCAACTTCATATGACAGACATTGTTCCCCATTTTTCAAGCTATAAATCTGAGGCCCAGTGTCCCCCAATGGCCGTGTGGTGACACAAGGCTTTGAGCACAGATGGTTGACTTCCAAAGCCTATGTTCTTAACCATTATGCCACTCTGTATTGTGACAGCGTCAAACATACTTTCATTCATACGTATTTTTTAGCTGATAATATTCTTGTGTGATTTCTTTCAGAAAGGCTTTTACATCAAATATTGATAATGATAATAATAATAAACACATTTTGAGCACTTACCATGTCTCAAGCACTGCTCTAGAGCTTTCCATGAAAGAACCCCTCTAATCTTCAGAACAATCCTGTGAGGTAGGTGCTACTATTACTCTATTTTCACAAGTAAAGAAACTGAGCACAGCAGATCCAAAGTCATGCTGCAGGATGCTGTGTAGAATGGCTCCCAGGACACTGGGAAAGCTCTTCTGCACCCCAGTATCTTCTCTATTGGTTCATTAATGTCTGATATTCCTGCATGAGAAAACACAGCATAGAGAGAAAGCTTAATATGTATATACACATACTGAGAGAGAAGGCATTTACCTAACATCTCATTATAGGTATTAGAAATGCCATCTCAAGAGCAGGTTCTCATGGGGTGACAGGCAGGGTATTCTAGGGGAAGGAATACCCCAAGAAAGGTAGCATTACAAAGGAAGAGGAGAAAGAAACATGTAAATGAGGAGACACTGATTTTCTTCCATTGCAAATGTTCCCAAGGCTGGCCCCTTTTCTATCACATTTTTACCCAGTAACTCATACTTTCCCTAGAGCTATTGCAAGCAAGAACTATTGAGAAAGTAGCCCATCTGAAAGTATATTTCCTGCTGTTTATCTGCTTCCAGAACTGGCTGAAGTTTACTTTTTGGTACTCCAGAGACCTAGCTTCTTCTTGCCTTCTTCCAGTGTGGTCTATTTAATCTCCTGTCGTGTGGGAAATTATGTTCAAAATCTCCGTGATCCTCTGTCCATAGTAAGTTATGCATGTAGTGACAAGTACATGCCACAAGGTCTTGAGATTATATCTGCAATGTGTTGCTGCTGGCTGTTGATCAAGATAGGCTGGAAGAAAAACATTATTTTCAGGTGTGAAAAACCGTCACCTTTATCAAATAATTCTTCTTGCATTTTTCCCAAGACGTTGTAGCCTATTTAAACTTGGGAGGTTAAGTTTTGTAGCATTCATTATGACTGAAAATTTAGTTCACACAATCATGATGCTCTCTTTATTAGGTGTTACCGTTAAACAATATTAAAATAAACACAATGTTGCTGGTCTTTTGTAAGCTACATGGCATGTTTACTTCTTTGCCTGGTTTCTTAATTGCATTTATTCATCTTTCCGAATACCAGTGTCACTGTCACCCAGAATATTTGCTGTTTTGAGTATGTGGTTTTCATTTTATTTTGCCCAATGATAGAATATGATGGGGACATCTTATCTGAGTGTTTCGTAGTATGCTGTAGTTTCAATTCTTGGCTGCTGGTTTCCCAGAGTCCCAGCTCATGCCATTGCATTCTGCTTTTGTAAATGGAGAATAATGGCTCTAAAAAAATTTCACCTTAGAATCTCATGACAGTGGAGAAGAAGGACCATGGACATACTAAAGCATACCACTCGGCTTCTGTAAATCATGCAGAGGATCATGAAAATGATTGAAAGTAACGTATCTCAAACAAAGAAGCCAGCTGTATAATTAAAGACCTGTGTCTGGCTGTTAAAAAAAAAAATGGAAAGAATAACCTTGCTATTCATGTTGTTCAAAACACTGGAGCAGATTGAGTCATCTAGACCCAGTTTCAGAAGAAATGTTAAATACTGATAGGGGCATATTCAAGACCTTTAGTATTTTTGGGGGGAGGAGGAAGGAACATAAAAAAGCAATAATAAAGATAAATTTGAATGCAGGAAAAATACACATAATCCATGAACCCAACACCTGTTTTTGCATGTTTATCATCTCTGTTCCTATGTAGATCTAGGTTTTCTTTCATAGTTGGAGTAATAGAATATATTCTATTATCTAAGCTTTTATCCTTTAACATTATAGAAGAAAGTTGTTCCATGTTACCACATAGCCAATTGTTTCAAAACTTGTTTAATAAATTCTGTGTTGCTGTTTTCACAGGAAGAAACATGCACATGTATATTACTTGTTTTTTTCTGTTGACTCATACTTTGGAAATAAATTGTTTTCAGTGAGATTATTGGTTCCAAAAAGTATAAACATTTTGGTGATCTTTAGTAAGTTGTATTGCTTTCCAAAGAAGTGATAGAAATTATACTTGCCACCCCAACACTGAAAAAGTAGTAGTTCAATTTCAATGTAACAGAGGATGCTACTGTGGCTATTGTATCTTTTATTACAATGAAAACCTTTAAAGATTTAAACCAAGCTGGATTGTCTTTCAGGAGCTGCTGCTAAATCAACACCTTGATATCTTTGTTCTTGGAGAGAAATGAGCTAAGGAGGAAGACCATCTAAAAATACCACTAGACAATTTGTGCTCACTGGAGTGGTCTCTACTGGGCAAAAGGTTTTTAGAGTGGCTCATGGATTTTCTGGCAAGTGGCAAACCATACAAGTGCTACAGGCCAGGAAGACAGGTACAGCCCTGTCGGTGTCAAAGAAGAACACTGGTAGCAGAAGAGCTAAGAGTGAATGAAAATTAAATTATCTTTACTTCTAGGACTTGTCTATTGAGAAACAGCAGCGCTGGCAGCCATTTACTACCAACAAGAGGCAGTTGCAAGAGAAGAATATAAAATATGCTCTGCTCAACCCCACGAAACTCAGAGTGTCTCACAATGGCCAATTTATTATTTTTACCCTGTCCAGTGACATGGAAGGATGCATCAGGGAGCTGCTAGCCTCTGCGATGAATAACTTAAGTCAGGCTGTAACATGTGAAATAATTCAGCTGACCAGGATTTATAACACTAGCTGGATTTTTTGCTTTCTTTGGGGTTCATGAAGCATGGTGTTGTGAGATACCACAGGAGTCCCGGAGTAAAGTTACATATCTATTTCTCTTCCTTATTTTTATTTTTTGGTATTTTCATATTATTTTATTGCCTAGTCCAAATGTCTTCCTAAGCAGGGTCCAGCCTCCTAGGGGACACGTCTCTTCTGACTTTGAAAGTTAGAACCACAGACAGACAAGACTTCTAAATACTCTGTTTTTATACCCCCTTCTTCACATACCTAGTCCCAGATGGTTTTGACTGCCTGATGCTGTGTTGACTGTGTTGGGCTTCAATTTATTTTGCTCAATTATTTATGTGCATTTGCCCAAATAAGAGGTGTGGCAATGCAGTGGCATGCTTAACAGTTCAGCCCATCTCACTCCCTGGTTCACATGGCAGTGTGAAGGATGGCTTGCTACATTTGCAAAGGGGTACGGGGGACAGTTTCCATCTGCTGCCATTGCAAAACACATATTTCAGGAGCTACCTGGCTGGGCTGCTTTCTTTCCAGGTAAGGTCCAGGGACATTTCCATGCACTGAGTAGAGTCTGGATCTTTGTTTTCCAGGCACCTCAGAAGACTAGGACACGGGGCAATTGCAAATCCTGGTCTTTGTACACTACATAGAATTTAGAGTAGGAAGGGACTTCAGAAGGTCATCTGGTCAAATTTTCCACTTTCTTTGAATTCCCATTTTGAGAGAATTCAAAGGAAGTGGGAAATGAGAATTCGAATTCTCATTTTTTAGAGGACCAATGGTTGGCAACATCCCTTTTTTGTGTTGTCATTTGGAAATTGTGTTAAAAGTCTTTCTTTCACAGTTGCCCTTGGTCCTTCCAATTTTCACTTTAACTGGGAAATTTTAATGAGATCCTTCAAGCAATTAAAAGAGGAGGAAAAATACCCACAGAAGCAGAATTTGGAGGGTAGCTATGGCTTTTCTCTGTTGACAAACCCCTTTTTGACTTCTTGACATCACTGAATCAAGTCTTAGTGTCTTGAGAGGTTACTGCCTGAATACAGGTTAAATATTTTAATATTCACTGATTGGAGGAAAGTACCATGAGCAAATCTAATGCAGGATCCTGGAATGCTGAGGGCATTAGTGGCTCCACAAAATGTTAATGCATTCTTAATTATCTCAAGTCACTGCACGCCCAAGTAGCTCTTTTACAAGAAAAACACAGCTTACTGATAATGAGCACAAAAATTACTAAGAGGTTGGTGGAGTAAATCTCTTAAACCTCTTTTCTTTTTTTTTTTCTTCTCCAAATTTTGATGTGACTTTGTTAATTTGAGTATGTGTCTCTTTGTAGATTCTACAGATAAACTTAGGGCCCCACATGTCATTTTGGGTGGTTGAAACAACAGCAGTTTCTACCTTACGGAAACCTCTAAAGATCATCATTATGATAATCATGACTTATTTTATTGAATCTATTAGGCTTATGAGGTCTTAAGTTCAAGATCAGCCTGGCCAACATGGTGAAACCCTGTCTCTACTAAAAACACAAAAATTAGCCAGACGTGGTGGAGGGCCCCTGAAATCCCACCTACTCAGGAGGCTGAGGCAGAAGAATCACTTGAACCTGGAAGGTGGAGGTTGCAGTGAGCCGAGATTGCACCAGCCTAGGCAATGGCCTGGGTAACAGACAAAAAAAACCAAAAACAAACAAACAAAAAAACCTCAGATTGTACCCACTAGTTGCAGAGTGATTTTATTTTTATTTATTTATTTTGAGATGGAGTCTTGCTCTGTTGTCTAGGATGGAGTGGAGTGGCAGGATCTTGGCTCACTGCAACCTCCACCTTCCGGGTTCAAGCAATTCTCCTGCCTCAGCCTCCTGAGTAGCTGGGATTACAGGTGCCCGCCACCACACCCAGCTAAGTTTTTGTATTTTTTGGTAGAGATGGGGTTTCGTCATGTTGGCCAGGCTGGTCTTGAATTCTTGACCTCAAGTGATCTACCCAGCTTGGCCTCCCAAAATGCTGAGATTACAGGCGTGAGCCACCACCCACTACAGTGATGTTCTATTTAAATGTGTGTTATATAGGTTGCCTCATTTTCTGGTCACAGGGTCCCCACGAAGCAAGCATTATTACTTATTATTGCCATTTTTCAAGGGGAAAACAGAAATACAGGAGGACAAATGGTGACTTACTGTTAGTCATTCAGCCTGTAAGTGGGAATTGAGAGCAGGATCTCAGGTCCTCTGACCTGCTCTGTGCTCTCTCTTTCACTTAGTTTTCCCATTTCTTTAAGCCAAGTAATGGAAGTGATTTGAAAGCTGCATTCTCAGCCTATTGTAAAGTGGTTCGCCAGAGGTGTTTCTTCATCACTCTCATTCTTTAATGTTACCTGACACCAAAGACCTCATGATGGGAAATACTGAACGTGGATTTCGCCAGTCTGCTGACACCATCTTGTCACACATCACAAAATTACCCAAGCTCATCCCTCTGATAAGAAGCATTTGGGTGGTGTAAGGTGGAGCTTTAGTTGCTATCCTTACTACCCTCCATGAACTGAGGTATGGTTGGCCAATGATCCTCATTGACATTTGGGGATTCTGTATAGAATTAAGAGCATCCATTGTGAGAGCTGAGACCTGAGACAATGCACCAAGTCAGGCAGAAGTGTGTTGCATCAGCACCTTGACAACACAGTCTATTCTCACGTGTTCAAGGCCTGAGCCACCACTGCCATCACGCTGACCCCAAGTGGCTGCAATTTCAGCAAGACGGGAATACCAGTCACCCACTTTCTTCTTGACTGTGTTCTGCGGGGCTTCCTGATAAAAGATGTTTATTCAGAGAGAAAGAGACAGGAGAGTGAGGTGGCATACAACCTGCTATCCCCAGACTTTGCCCAGGTTTTAGAGTTAATATCTTCTTTGAAGGCTCTGAAATCTGGGACAGTCCTTACCATGACTGAAACCTGGAGAGGAGATGTGGACAGAGGGTCATTTTTGTGTTGAGTCCCTAGGTGACCCTCTTCTCTTCTTTGTAACAATTTGTGTTGTGCCTGGGCCCTTGTTAAGTCCTCTTTGTGTTATCTCTGGCTGTGACTAGGACAACATGTGCTCTTCTCCCACTTTCAGCCTGGAAGATCCAACTTCTGAGCCCTGAGTGACAGACCAGCTTTATAATGGGAAGCTGACACCGGGCTGGCTTCAAGGGCTATGACCTGTGCAGTTGCAGAAAGCCTTGATCTCAGAAGGGTTGTGCACTTGGCTTACAATGCTCTGCCGTTGCATGTTGAAATTCTTAATTTTTGATCAAGCAGCCCTAT